TTAAGAAATCAGGGACTGGTTTTTGAGAAAAGTAAAATTTATCATTGAAAAAACTGAGTATTATGGACATTTCATGGAACTGCTGCATAACATCCATATTTATCTTTGGCACCTGTGACATTTGAAGGCAGACTTAATAAAGCAGACATGAACAACCTATCATCACTGATATCCTGCAAACACAGAGTCAAACAGTCATTCACTGCAAAACACTTCGGAACTCCATCCCTTTCAAACAGCAAAGTGTTTCCACTGACTGCATCCACTTTGGTTTGAATCCTATGAAGGAGTCTTATGTTGCAGGCTGCTCGTCATAATGCTTAGTAGAACAGGCCAAAGCTTTAAGGACAGAGACTGGCAGCAATTTGACACACTTAGAATAATTGAGTTCACTGGTTTGGGCTGGATAGTATTTTGTATTTGATCTTTGTCATTGCTGGCGGGGAGGGGCAAAATTAAGGGGAAATCAGTGTAGGATACCAGTAAAATAGTATTCCTTGTTTCCTTGTAATACTTGGTGACAAGCTTCAACCATCAGGACAATCCTGCCTGATAGAAGTGGGCTGCTACAATTAATCACACATGCTGAACTATGTGTGAATCTGGATGTGACTGTCAGGTTGTTAGAACAGATCAGGACAGGTCATGTTCTGAAACATGCCTGAAACCATGAAATTTGTTTGTTAATAAGGTAGTTCCCACAAAATTCCCTGCTGCCCCTGCAGAGGAAGAGGTTGGTTTTGCCCTGATAATATGACTGCAGTTTGGCCACAGAACTGTCCTCTTCTGTGATGCTAATATTTTCACACTGACAGTTTTGCTCACAACTTAAATTTGTTCCAGGAGAACAAGTCAGCACAAGTTTTTCTAAAAAGCTGGTGACAATCCTTAAATTCATCATTACAATTACAGCGCTGGAGAAAGTGCAATTTGTACAACCGTACAAGGCTTCTCTGAGGGATTTTCCCAACACTACATTCTGATGTCACTTTTTTTTTCACCTCTACAGTGAAGTTTAGGTTTTGCTGACAGTCGTGCAATAGCCTTGAAAACAAAAAACTAAATCAGGTAACATCTGGAAGTTTCTTTTGGCTGTTTCCAAATGTGAAATTGGCAGGAGCTTTTGTTAGATTTATTTAAAGTTTGATTTGATTGTAGACTAACTGCAAATACTCTAATAGATGCTATAGAGTATTTTGGTAATCTCTGTACAAATGAATCTGTAGCTCACAGTGGTTTTACTCACAAACAAAAAGACAAATAATAAAATAAAATGTCCTTTCTACTTGTTTCAGTAAAAGGAATTACAATAAAACATACCTAAAATAACCTAGTAGTAGAAAGCTTGAATATTGACCCTTCAGTGCTCCTGTGCTACACTTCAGTAGCAGTGTCCTAACTCTGTGCTGCAGGTAGGTTTGTCACCACTGAAGGTGTAAGTGGGGGTGCTGGTGTAGCTGACAAACTAATTCTTCTTCTGTTGGCTCTTGGACCTGCTCCCTGCAGAGAAAGAGGGGGTATATCACAGTGAAAGAAAAAGTGATTGGACAAGAACAAGAAGTAAGCTGTGGTTTGACAGCTTTTTCTTTTTTTTTGTTAGTTCCGACTTTAGTTTAGACTTCAAAGAAAACAGCACTAGGACCTACCTGAACATAAACTGAACCGAGGTTTCATATCTTATCCTATCCACATCTGTAACAGAGCAGCTGTGACTGCGATCCCACTTGTAGATGAAGTTCTGTTAGAAAGCAAGAAAAAGGGAATTCAAGTTTTAGCACATTTCACAAGGCCAAGAACTACATAATGTATACGGCACTTTCATTTTTAAAAGCAAATGAGGAAATTCCTAAAACAGCTGGCTACTTAGTTTTTAGGTTAGTTAGTTAGGCTCGGTTAGTTTTTTTTTGTTGTTTTTTTTTTTTTTTAATTTCTTCTATCAAACTTTACTCAAACATAGGGAAGTGGGGCATTTGTTGGTTTACTATTCTCAGCAGCAGGTTAACATACATTTATTGCTCTTGTGAGTATTTGTGGCAGCATGAAAGTGAATGTGGAGTTCGGTCAAATTCTAACGTGTGTGTTCATTGTAATGCAGGAACAAATCATTCAATGTCACAGTGTGGCTCATAAAATTTTTGAACAGCAATGGAGCACTGTGGCACAGAGCCAGAAGGTAAATAAGGCTTTGGATACATTCATTGTTTGTTGTTTTGGCTTGTTTGTTTGGCTCGGCAACAGTCATCTGTTGGCTGATTTGGCAATCTGCTCTTTGGGGCTCCGTAGTGTACATAGGATTTATCTGCCTGTGAATGTTTTTAATACACAACAGCAATCCAGATTATTTTTAATTATAAGAAGGAGGTGCAGCCAAACAATTCTTCATCACTGACATAGCATTGTGGAGATAGTGGCAATGCAACGTTATAGTCAGTCTAACACAAAGAGAAGTTATGCTGCTGTGATCTGTGCAGATGTAGAAAAGCAGTTAAACTGTTGACTGGAACTATGTCTGTGTTTGTGCTTTTTTTCTGAATGTGAAAGAATGAATGTGTCTTGTGTTTGAGCAAACAAACCTCCAAGATGAGCGCCACAAACAAGTTGACCCACATGACAGAGGAGGTGAGCCACCAACATACAAAGTAGATCTTGGACCACCTGGGAAACATAGAACACCATCATTATTACAGTAACTGTTAGAACCAACAACAGCTGCTGTGCATGTATAATACACTTACTCTGTGGTGTATCTGCTGTATGCGTCCATGAAGGCTTGCCAGTTGTTCACTATCATGACGTCATAGAGCAAAATAATGGCTGCCTGAACAACAGAAGGAGGGAGGGGGGGATTATATTCTATTTTTTATTATTATTCTGAATTTCCTTGTGTGTATATCACTGCAGCTGCAGCAGTATGAACACAGATCTGGTGGGTTTTGTTACTCACAGCAAAGTCGTCAAAGTTGTTTGGCCAGTAGCCCAGCTGTTCATAGGTGCCACACTCCATGCTAAAGTTAGTGGTGATGTTCTGCATAGAAGTATTGGAGAGCACACTGGGAAACAGACACAAACACACACACCATCAGGAATGACTCACTAGGCCTGTCTCTAACATACAGGTTTAGCCAGCCAGCAATGCCACTTCAGTGACACAGGTTTTTAAATACCTACAGCACAACACATTTCACATTTAATTCTGATTCTCCACTTGTATGGAAACAGAATCCACTCATCAGGTCATTTAAGAAAAAAATACTGTGAATGAACCAGTTGAAAAGGAAGGGGGGGACTATGGCTGGTTGAGGGGTTGGGGTGTGTTTAACAATTCTCTTTCTTGGTTAGTCTTTTCTTTATGCTTGCCCTTGAAATTGTCTTTACAATCACAGATTATATACAGAAAGAAGCCCTGTTCTGTAACTCTGCTCTACAACCAACCACTGTGGGAAACATTTCCAAAGTTTCAAGGTGAGTAGGACACTGCTATTATTCTAACAAAAGGGTGGGGAAGAGCTTTGTGCCATGAGCTGTGTTTTGTTTGGCTCCCTGAAGAAAACTTCATACCTCGTGCCTGGAGGAGGTTTAATGGCACCTTCAAACAGCCAGATCCCAAACACAGCAAACACATAGTACACCACCTGCACAGAGATCAATGATGTTGGTATCAACATACAAACTACTTCACAAATGTCACTGTATGAAAACCTTTGTTTGATAAGCCTTTCATAGGATCCTAGAAAAAGGTGGTTTTAGTTGGTAGTTTTAGGAGCCAGAGAGGTTGGACAACATCTTGGACAACCTGTATCTACAAAGGACTTTTTATTTTATCAAATCTCTGGCAAACTGAACTGCAGATCAGCTGACTGAAATGTGGCGATGTCACTTACCACTAGTATCCCTGCAAACGCTCGGAGGTTTTTAACCAGATCCAACAGTGTACTTGCAACCAAAGCCATGAGCTGTAGAACAAGATGCACATAGGTAAGGCTAAAAAAGACGTAAACATTCAGAAATGTATTGTAATGAGGCTGCAGCATCTGTAAATGAAGCTTTGTGTTGTGAGAGAAGACATAATTTGGTGTTTTACTGGGGGTTCTTTTTTCATCTCTGCTTTTTGTGTTATTACAGTTACTGCAGTGTTAAATATGTGAAGTATCAGCTGTTTTTGTTCTGTTTTAATTAAGGTATGGAAAAGGCCTTATATTTGTTGTTGTTTAGTTTAGCCACTAAGAAAAGCACATTTTCCTGGAACTCAGTGTTTCAGGGATTTATGCACATTGGGTATTTTACCTTATCAACTTTCATCCAATCAGTACAGTTAGTTCCTGTTGGAGCAACAACAACGTCAAAGTTATTCTAAATTTACTATCAATAACCCAACTGCTGCAAGACAGCATCTTTGGGAAAAAATGCCATTCTAAAATAAAAGTACACTTTTGAAAGGAATGTTTTTATTCTGCAACAAACATAAACTCAAAAGCAGTCGTATTAAAATAATGTAAAAATAACAAATACAAAATGTAAAATAACATAATAATGAGCTATGGTTTTTAACAATTACTGTTACATTTAAATACAGTATGTAACACAATTCATTCATGTGAATATTTATTTCTATTTAATTAATGCTGACTTGTGTGGGACTCCATTCATCTGAGCACTGTTTTTTTTTCCAAAACTGTTTAAATTGTTTTGTGAACTTTTGTGATGTAGTGTAGTCACAGTCCTCTGTCTATCACTATCACTGAATTAATGATAATTATTAATAACAAATGATTCTAACAGCATTCTGATTCAACAATTTTTGACAAATAATCTGTCTGATTGGATGGCTGAATTCAAACTAGATGAGCGTCCTCATTCCGCCACTTGTAGTTTACCTTGATATCAGGGATGATGCGCAGGAAACGGAACACAATCAGCATGTTAACCAAACGAACCATCTCCCATAGAGACATCACACCATGGGTGGAGGGATCCCTGTACACACACACACACACACACACACACACACACACACAAAATGAGCTATAGACCCATGAATTAACCCATGAAATTAAGAACATCTTTAAGGGGGGGACTAGCAGGACTGTCTTACTGCATCACTTAAATCCTCTGAGAAGCTTAAAACTTGCAGTTAGCATAAAAGTTGTTGTTTCCTATAACGAAGTGGGTTTTGGAAGTAATAAAATACAGATAGTGGAGGAGCAGGACAAAGCCACTTGAAATGAGCAGCCAATGGCAGGCTTGTACCTGCAGTTTAGATCCAATGAGTCAGACCAGTGTTGCTCTAAACCCACTCGGGCACAGACCCGGACCTCTGAGTATGTCCAAGGGTGTGCAGCCCTGGGATGTTAGCAGTGGATCCTTTGGGTCCTGTGGGGCCTTCGTGGATCAGGCTTGTTTCAACGCATCATGCAGATGCATTGTCTTGCTGGAGAGGGCTGCTGTCACAGGGAATGTTCTTGATCTGCAACAACGTTGAATTGTGTGGCATGTGTCACAGTATCATTCACATGAATACCAGGACCCAAGGTTTCCCAGAAGAACACTACACTGCAACAAGACGATCAGTGTTCTTCATTTCACCTGTCGGTGGTTTTAAAGTTGTCGTGTGTACAGTATTATGTTTCCTCTTCTCAGCTGCTAAAACCACATTTTGACTGCTGTTTAACTGTAATGCTTGATCTGAGCTGGATTGTGCCATGCATTTATATTTATATTAGCAGGAGTGACGCTTAAAGGCCTAATTAGAACTTTGCAACAGTTAGTGGAAACAAGACACTCTAATTTTATATTTTGTATGTATTGACCTCAGGCAGCGCCATTGTTACAACAATCTGCCCAACTGAAACAAAGACTTTAAGATTCTTACTGAAGGTTTGTCTGCTGCTTTGTCAACATGAGTTTTGTGTAATCCACAACAGATTTTGCCACATTTTCTGTTCTTAATGTCTGAGCTCATTTCTTGTTATGTATCTGCAAAATTCCAGTCAACTTTTTTTTATACGCTTAAGTACTGAGGTTATCGCTACTTGTGTGCAGCACTGTTGCACTCACTGACTGTTGCACTCATTCTTTTTTTTTTTTTAATTTGCAGTGGTTGTGTTAACTTTTGCTGCAGAATGTTCAGTGTTTTACACCAACCAGCCACAAAACCACCAAAAGATGGAATGAATTTACATTAATTATCTTGGTCCACCGCAAACTGTGGCTGGGAAACCTTGGGTCCTGGTATTCATGTGGATGTTGCCTTGACACCACCTACCTAAACTTTGCTGCAGATCAAACACACCTCCCCTGTGGCAATGGCTCCCAGCTGCCTCCCCCAACAGGACAATACACCCTGCAACACTGCAGAAACTGTTCAGGAACAGCTCAAGGAACATGACCTAGAGCCCAGGGCATGGACCCTGCCTCCCAACTCCCCACATCTCAATTTGATAAAGCATCTGCAGGATGCTGTAGAACAAGTCTGAACCACAGATACTCCACATTGTGGCCCATGGGATTGAACATCCAGACACTACAGGACACCGTCAGAGGTCCTGAGACTATGGGCCTGAGGTGTGTTTGTGGTTTTAAAGTTTCAATCAATGCAGTTGTCTTCAAAATGTCATTTTAAATTGATAATCACTGCTTGATTTTGCAAATTAGTCAGTTCAAGTCAACTTTTTAAATCAGACTGGACTCTGGTTAGCTTTAAAATTGGCTTTATGAAACAGTTCAATCCTGGTTCTCTTTCCTTATCCAGTACCTGGTTTTCATTTTTTAAAAAAAGCCTTTCTTCTCTGGGTTGTATTTATGAAACACTCCCAAGGTGTCCCTCTTAAAAGCGAATTCTTAACTAGACCATGCTAAGTAAAGGTTACATTTGAAATGTAAAACTTGAGATGCTTTTGATAAATTCCTGACTCAAATGGTAGTCATCACAGCATTTCCAGTGGGTACCTCTAATGAGAGCAAACAGGAGTTGAGTTACAAACATTTATTGTAAAAGAAGGAAAATTCAAGCTCACCACTGGGAATAAGGAAGCCTGTAGGTGATGAATATGGTGATCTGTAGGGCCTGATGGGAAAAACATACATCAAGACAGACTGATTCCTGACAGACAAAAAACCTTTAAGAAAGATATTGTGGGTGACTGGACTCAGGAGTGCTGTGATGTAGCAGAATAGAAAGTCTCATCTCCCTTAGTGTAAGTTTTTTTTTTTTTTTTACATAAGAATAAACAGCAGCTGTGATATGATAAATAAGAGAATAAGTGATTGATGTTTGAGCAATGTTACCAATAACAGGATGGTGAGGAAGCCATCAAAGATGTTGTTTCTGTAGGACAGGTATCCTATCCAGCCGAAGGCAAAGATCTTCACACACATTTCAAACAGGTAGTAGAGGATGAAGCACAGGTTGATGATCTGACAGTGGGACAGTGGGAGGGTAAATTACTTCATTCTATTGGTAGCTCATGTTGACAACTTTAAAATGGTTGGAATGTCTTCACACCACAAAAAAGCGTTGATATAACCGACTGACACTTTGCTATTAACAAACTACATTTTGGTAGGGTTCAACAATGCAAACTGTAAATCCATAATACATAAGTGCTGAAAATTTCAACATGATTGCATTGGAATTTCAGAAGATCAACACTGACTAGGAACAAGGTTTTGGATTTTCAATATAAAGTTGCTGAGAAAAGGTCAGTTCTTTAGATGTTGATGGTTGTGTGGTTGAAAGATTTGATCAGGAACATCAGGATTTAAAATCTGCAGCAAAGTTATGTTAGGAATTGCCCTCTGAGAATGTTGAACTCCCACAAAACAATTTATGACTGAGTTCACCTCCAAAATGAAGTTGTCTCTCTCTGCTGTGGACTTTTCGGAATTCAACACCAAGATAGTCTGAAACAAACATAAACATTGTGTTAAAATAAACTGACCAGCTTCATCAGTGTGTGTGTGTGTGTGTGTGTGTGTGATTGTGTTTGTGCAACTTACACATATGCACACAACATTGGCCAGGGCCACCGCGTTGCCAAGTATAGTGAGATAGTAGTGACTGAAGATCACCTGGAGTCTCTGCAGGGCTGGAGATCTGTACTGAGGTAAAGGAGGGTGCTGGAAGGAACATAGAGTCAGAGAATATAACAGATGACAAAGAGAAATGTAATTCTGAAAGAATCATTGAAGCAACTGAGTCTGTGCACACAGTTGTACCTCCTTGATGCAATCTTTATCCAGTTCATCAAACATTTTACTGAACTGCTCTCGATTCATGTAGCTGACCTCTGTGTACTGCTGCGCCACCTGACATATCAGAAGAGCAAATGAGACAATTGTAGGGAATGAGTAAAGAAAAAAGGAAAAGAAGTTGATGAAGCATCATTCTAATCTTACAGTAGTTTAAGTTCATTTAGGTCAGACTGATGCTCTCTCTATGAGATGAGTAACAATTCACTTTGGAGGAGAAAACATTGAAGATTACATAACCTGGATGTAGTAATATAATTATGATCATCCATCTACAGAAAGCAGGAACATTTTGTATGAGCCTCCGAAATTGTTTTCTTTATATCTTTATCTGTAACGGCCATACATTGTTTATATTAAAGTATTCTAGCAAACTGAAAAGACTGCAGCTGAATACATTTTTTTACCCTTCAAATTATATGAAAATGTTGCACAATATTACAACTTCTAGTTCAAATTTCGTGGAGTTGTGTACAGCCCTACAGAGTGAAGCAGCAAGATCCTGTAGTCGAAGCAGCTGAACGCAGTTCATCTATCATTAGTTTAAATAATTAGACTGTGACTTCTCTGCTGTGATTAATCTAAATATTGTCTGTTTAAAATAAAATTGAGGCTTTCAGTGTGTGTGTGTTTGTGTGTGTGTGTGCATTCTTTCCATTTTTAAATAACCATTCATCCAATTTACCTTAGATCTGGAAGGTGT